CCGCAACCAAGTCGTCCACGAAGGCAAACAGTGGAGAAAGGTTAAGCAATTGGAATACATGTGGGCGAGATGTCTCTAGCAATTGGGAGCGGTGGCACGCAGGAGTCACTGCGTCCCCAAACCAGGATTCGCGAACTATTGCTACTGCTTTGTACCGACGGCTTCGCCAGGATGTGCACCGACTCAGCAAGCTCAGCTTCACTGGAGGTTCCAGGTCCAGCGCAGTGGCGGAAGCAGAAGGATTATTAATAGCACCCGTTAAATAGACTACCTTCTATTATTTATTGCCTATAATAATTATTAATTGCCAATAATAATTTAAATAAGTGAATTCACATGTACAGACAATCCCCTCGGTAATCCCTAGAATTGGAATACTCCCGGTGGCCGATTGTTGACGGGAATAGACACTCCTAAGCGATTTGTGAGCCACAAGCAAATCCCCTCCTTGGTAGTAATATCGAGTTTCGGAGTATCCTTTCAAAAGGAAAGCTGTAGTACACCGTTGCTAAGCTGTTTTGAGCGCATGTGCGCAACTATCACGAGAGCTCGTCTACCCGAAATGGATTAAAGGCGCGTGAAGATGAAAGAAGATCTAATCGACCGATCGAACTCACGATATTTACTAGGAGCCTCATGTATGGAATGACCAGCAATCAATCACTACCAACGCAATGGTACAGCTCTATTTGTGAGATCTCCGAATAGTGATACTGTGCTCGGAGTTAGAATATTTCCGTGTTAGAGGAACAGATAGATAAGACCTGATAACCGGCAACACATATCCCACGCTCCCTACGACACTTGCTACAAGAATACAACGTAGTATTAATTAAAATACAAGCAAGTTATCACTGTTTCCAGCATCGAAATCTTTATCGTCGCTATGACAGATAAGGGTAGTCGACAAATGATTTGATCCCGGTGCTTTAGATTTGAAGGTCTCCTCTACCACCTGTTAAATTTTGCTATTCGACGACATCCAGTCGCGAACTTACCGTCAAGAGCACAAGGCGTGAGGCATGCGTATCCACCACACCCTGCTCGTTACTGCGATCGCCCTCCTTGCTGTCCTGTCGGTTGAAGTCGATGCTGAATCAAGGACCCTTCGATCACTCAAGACGATAAAGGGCGAAGACGCGGCAGGAGAAGAGCGTGCTGGCATTCCTGCCATTCCTGCATTTACGCACACGTTCAACTTTAACGCGCTTGACGAAATCGGTTTCCTTATCAAGAACTTGCCGGAACAATTTCAGAGAATGAGGACTCAGCCTGAACGTCTACGAACCGTTCTCGGGGGGTGGTACGATGATCTCCAGTCCGTTAAACAGGTCGTCGCCTTCATGACGAAAGAGGGACTGAGTGAGAAGGCAATTGAAGAGTTTGTGGCAGCATATAAAGCCTATATTGCCTACGCACAGGCTCATGGCATTAAGCCGGCTGCTCTAACCTTACATACATGAAGGCTTACACAAGCCTCCTTTTGCTGACGTCTTTTGCAAGAAAGTTTGTTTCATGTTGGAGTTTGAGGAATGAACGTAGTCCATATGAATGCCAGCGATGGGCTTACCCCTCCACGTACCATGTGCGTTCGAGAAGCGGGGCTGGGCTTGGGCAGGACTTTGCTGAGCAGCGAGTAGCAGTAAGAGGTTGTCGTGTGATTCACGAATCATGATGCCGAGCTAAACGTCCGTGGTGTTTACTTCGAAGCAATAGAGTTATGATATCTGTCGATCATTGGTGTGTACTGTGGTGATCATACGGCGCCGTAAGTTTGTG